AATTAACCACCAAAAAAGCCAGAAGTGGCTCAAGTGGCAAAGTGCCAGCCTTGAGCACAAATGCTCAGGGACAGCAGCCATGCCCTGTATTCAAGCCCCAGAACTGGCACAAATAAAAATAAGATTGGAAAGGAGAGGTAGGTGTTGAACAAACATGGCCAGTTCAGCAAAAATAAAATACTGCATTTTGATACTAACAAGGGAAATCACATTCAGAAGCAGAGACCAAAATGAACGCACACAAAAGTGAGCCTAGTCATGATTGTTTTATATACTTAACAAATGACGGGCAAGAAGCTGTAAGGACCATGTCTTAAAACTTTTTTAAGCCGGCCACTGGTGGCTCACACCGTAATCCTAGCCACTCAGGAGGCTGAGATCTGGGGATCATGGTTCAAAGCCAGCCTGGGCAGGAAAGTCCGTGAGACTCATCCCCAATAAACCTAGAAAACCAGAAGTGGTGCTGTGGCTCAAGCGGTAGAGTGCTAATCTTGAGCTGAAGAGCTGAAGGACAGCGCCCAGGCCCAGAGTTCAAGCCCCATGACTGACAAAAAAAAAAAATTGTTTTTCTTGTTACTATAAAGGTGATGGACACAAGGGTTACAGTTACGTAAGTCAAGCAAGGAGAACATTCCTTCCCTTTTTTTTTTTTTTTTTTTTGTCAGTGGTGGGGCTTGAACTCAAATCTTCAGCTCAAGGCTAACGCTCTACCACTTGAGCCACAGCACCACTTCTGGTTTTCTGGTGGTTCATTGGAGATAAGAGTCTCACGAACTTTCCTGCCTGGGCTGGCTTTGAACTGCAATCTTCAGATCTCAGCTTCCTGAGTAGCTAGGAGTTACAGGCGTGAGCCACCAGTGCCCAAAAGGATTACATTTCTTTTTGGACCATGTCCCCCCTTCCCTCGATCTCTCCTGTTTTTCCAACTCCCTTCCCACAGTTGTGTAGTTCACTTTCCACAGTGTCCAGTGAGAACCACTGCTGCATTTGTCCACCCTTTATCCCTCTGTGCCGTTTCTCCACCCCACCACTCCCAAGACAGATAAACGAACAGGACAAAAAGATGGGCTGGGAATGTGGCTTAGTGGTAGAGTGCTTGCCAAGCATGCATGAAGCCCTGGGTTCGACTCCTCTGTACCACATACACAGAAAAAAGCCAGAAGTGGTGTTGTGGCTCAAGCAGTAGAGTGCTAGCCTTGAGCAAAAGAAGCTCAGGGACAGTGCCCAGGCCTGCCCTGAGTTCAAAAGAAAAGAAAAAAAAAGCAACAAAGAAAAAAATCCACTTCTTTGCATTTCCTGGAGTTCATTTCAATAAATATTATGTTTTGTTTTGCTTAGAACCTGAAAAGAAAATCTTTTTTTTTTTTAATCATAAAGATGCCGTGCAGAGGGATTACAGTTGCATGAGGAAGGCAATGAGTACATTTCTGGTCGAGCATCAATCCATACTATTTTACACGATCAGAGGCACATAGGCGTGGGGCCTTTGTGTCCCTCTCCTAAGAGCCGTCCTCCTTTGGTCTCCCTGAGTGTGAAGCCTGGAGTCCTGTGTCATATGGTGAGGACGAATCCAAGAGATTCACATGGCACAAAAGCCAGAACCGGAGGCATAGTTCAAGCAGTAGAGCTTCAGCTGCGCTGTGTGCGTGTATACGTGTGCGTGCATGCGTGTACGTGTGCGTGCATCGTGTGCACGTGTATGTACGTGTGTGTGCATGTGTGTGTGTGCTGGGGGGGAGGCGGGGAGGGAGACCAAGTTCAAGGGCCTGCACTCAAGACCCAGGGCCCAGCACAACATAATGAAGGACACAGACCTCAGCGGGTGCCAGGCCTGAGCTCGGGGCGGGGCGCAGGCCTCGGTGGGGCCAGGCCCGGGGCC